AAAGGGGTTTCTGTGACCTTTCCATGGGTGATCCTCATCTGCATGGTGACAGTTTGTGTCACCGGGTGTTTATCGCTTGTGTGATGTCTTGCTGGGGTCTAACTACCTACTTACCTACTCTCTTTAAAGGCGCGTTTACCAGTCATTGTATGTGTTCTCGGATATTGTAATGACATCAACACACACACAAAAGTGCAGTTCCATATTATTCAACTCTTCTTGGTTATTCTGACACATACTGTCAATAAATAGATTACATATAATTTTCCGGTAAAGCAAATGTTCGATATTGAAAGAAAGAAAGTATATTTTAGACGACACAAGCGTTTATTATTTACACACACACACACACACACACACACACACACACACACACGCACGCACACACATACACACACACACACACACACACACCCATCCACACACCCACCCACCCACCCACCCACCCGCGGCGACCGGGTGACGAATTCCTTGTGGTCAGGGCTCACGCCTGGGGTTAAACAGAAAAGCCATAATTTTCCAAGGTTGATGGTATCTATCACGGAATCAAGGCCGAAGGGCTGCAATATCCATAGTACCGAGCCAAAGGAAAAACAACTCATGGTTTCTAGAATGAAAAAAAAATTTTCTTTTTCGTTAATGTAAGAGTCTATCAATAGTGAAAACATTTAATTTATTTCTCAGGCTGCTGCAGTGACCTGAAGGGTGCCGGTGCAATCAGAGGCGCTGACACCCATAACACACACCAATTGGGGCTGCGTGGTCTTGAGGTATGGTGTCCGCCTTGAGTGGTTGAGGTTCCGGGCTCTGGTCCTGGTGAAGGCTGGGATTTTTTTTTCTCTTCACGTGGATTTCTAGTAATTTCCCCTTGTCTCTAGGTAGTGATATCAGACACCCGTGTGTATTGTTGCACACGTAAAAAATCCCTTGGCAGTTGAAAATAAAAAAGAGTAGCCTAACGGCGCTGCCTAGCAAAATGTCGAGTTAAAGATCTACCCAAAAAGTATTTTGAGATCCTCGCCGGTGCAACAGAGCTCGTGCACTGCGCTGAGATTTTCGGACTCAGGCGTGATTTAGAAGAAGAATGGAGCACTTATGGGTTACTACCCGTGTGCCATGATGTTGATCCGTTTTTCAAACTTCAAACACACACACCCATTGTAGCAGAGCCGGGCTGGGCGGAAACTCAACCACTTTTTTTTTTCTTTGTACAAAGGCTGTAAGCTTCGAGGTAAAGTCACTTACAGTTTTAACAGTAGTGCCTCAGGGGATATAAGCCTTGTTTATATGTTTAATCAATCATATTTAAAATTTTGTTCTACGGTTTAGCTCTTGTTTAATTATGTCAAGAGGTGTTATTCCCACAAACAGCAATCACGAAGGGTGACAATAATCGACTAACCAGCCACGCACAAGCAAAAACAACAAACACACAAATATACTAATCCTAAATTAATGCCAAATCTTATTCCACGTGTCATTGCTAAAATATCAAAGCACAGATATAAAATATAAATTAAAATTATTCGAGAAATCCAAAGGAAACAAACAGAAAACCTACAAAAACATCACAACACTGATCACAAGTTGAAAAAAAAAAGTGGCAACAATGTTCCTTCATGTACCAATTTGGAGCAGTCTTCTTCTGTCTCAATGGAGCATAGGCCCCCAACCAACTTACGCCAAGTAGTTCCATCTTTTACCATAGCATGCAGCTCTCCAAATGTCCTCTCTATCTTTCTAACTTCATTCTCCAGCTCCCTTCTCCATTTTTTTGGGTTGGTCTTCCTTTATTCCTATGCCCCTGTGGGTTCCAGTGCAAAGACATTCTAGTCATATTATTCTCCGGTTTTCTCAATGTGTGTCCTATCCAATGTCAGCGTCTTTTCTTCACCTCTTGGTCCACTGGAGCTTGCTTAGTTCTCTACCAAAGCTCTACATTAGTGGTTCTATCATACCATTTAATTCCATCCATTCTGTCCAGGCACCAGTTAATGAATGTCTTTAATTTATTAGTAATTGCCTTAGTTGTTCTCCATGTTTCTGCACCAAACAAAAGTGCTGATTTGACATTAGAATTAAAAATTTTAAGTTTAATATTTCTTTTTATTTCTTTTTACTTTTGGAGCAGTGCTGACTGAAAATTACATTTAACTCACATAAAGCTAAAGATCCTGCTCTACGCCTTCAGGCGCATTGGACATACAGTGCTAGACATCTACATTGTATAGACCAATCGGCACTCGGTGTGTGATGTGATCAATTCCGCGCAGGCCGTTTTTACCTCCCAGGACTTCACATGGTACTCACTTAAATATGGCCGACCTAGGAGCCACATTTGTTGTGTGTGTGTGTGTGTGTGTGTGTGTGTGTGTGTGTGTGTGTGTGTGTGTGTGTGTGTGTGTGTGTGTGTGTGTGTGTGTGTGTGAAAAAATGTCCGGTTCCATTCATACTCTAACCCACTACTTTCGGATCCGGAGGCGAGCATCTAGTCGCTACACCACGGTGGCTCCCATTACTCACACATTGTCACACAAATTCTTACAAACACTCACAGACTGACAAACACATAAACATAAGCATATTTGAATTATTTTTCATTGCAGATAAATCAAAATTAAGACCATAACAGATCCAAGGAATGACCACACAATGCCACATTTCCAAAACACCCCGAGGAGAAAGCAAAAGCAAAGTTCTTTGGACAGATGTTTCGTAACAGTCAAAGGTGGTGAGTCTCAACCAGACTCAAGTCAGGAAAAGAACAAAACAAAACACAAGAATTGAAGATTACTGAAGATTTATTGGTAAGGGACTCTCCTTCCAAACAATAACATCTCCTGTTCCTATTTCAGCAACGTCCTATTAGGCACTCAATTCATCTAAGCAAGGCAAAGTGGGATTAACAGTTTTATTTATTTCATCAATTTTTTTTTTTTTTAATGTTAGTTTTAAGCAATGTTTTTATTATTTTAAACCTCCCCATCAATGTAAAATATTCTAAAAACAAAAAATGAGATTTAAAAAAAAATTAATCTTTTTCTTCTTTTGTCATCTCACTGATACCAGGTTGTAGCACAGTGTCGTGGTTTTCTGCATCTGTCTTGCACCTGTCGGGTGGCTTGAGTGATGGATTTGTGCATCTCTTTGCCGGCTACACCATTCATCCATGTCTTTCTTGGTCTTCCTCTCGTCTTCCTCCCATATGTTCTACTGTAAAAAGTCATATGTGCAGTCTGGTCTGGCTGCATTCTCACTAGTTAGCACAACCATTTCATTTTCTGCCTGTAAATATAATCTAGTCATGGTCTTATTCCAACTTATTCTCTACTGCTGGTATTCGTAATACAGTCTCGTCTTGTGTTGTTAGTGACCTTGCGTAGACACCGCTTTTCACGTGTGTTTATTTTCTGCTATAGTGCCTTATTCATTGTCCATGTTTGGCACTGATAACATAAAGTAGGAATTAAGATGCTATTAATAATTTGCTGTGATGCTGGAAATGAGAATTTTTTGTGTTGATTTTTTAATTAATGACAACAGATAATTCATTTTCCTTTTATTTTGTATGAAAAATTCTTTTTTAAATTTCGTGTTTCGTATGTGTCCTGTTTGGTATATGTCCTGTTTGGTGTATTCCTGTTTGGTATATGCCCTGTTTGATTTATGCCCTGTTTAATATATGTCCTGTTTTGTATACGTCTGAGGATCTGGGAAGGATTAAGGTCGTAGACCGAGGCACCACTGTACATAAGAAAACTAAATGGAACTAACACAAAACTTACAAAAGAACAACAACTGAACACACGGTTTTAAAAAAAAAAACACATCTGAAAGTATACGCTGTCAGGACCTAGCGACACTGTTGAGAACTACTGAAAGTCATATGAGTGTATCACACGCACTCACATACTGACTCACAAACTCACTCATAATCATACACAATTCGCATCAAACATACACACAGCACACGCATACTCACACACACATATCTAAATAGCAAGCAATAATTTGCCTAAATTGTATGATACGCCACACACATACATGCACATACACACACACAAAAATAAAGACCATAAAATACCAACATACTTGAAAAATTTAAACGAAAAATAACACAACACTAGTCACAAGGATAAAAACTGACACACCAATGACATAGCCTTTATTGAAAACAATCGTGCCCTGTTGAACACCAACGAAAGGGATTACTCGTGCATCACTCGGTGTTCATCACATACACACACATTTATAAAATACACTCTCACAAAATATACTTTTTGAGCTCTCACACACACGCACAGACTCACACATCTATCCACACAAAGACCAAATAGTAACCAACACGTCATTACCAAGAAGCCAAAGCAACGAACACAAAATATCAAAGCACTTGAGATGTTAAAAGAGAAACTAACGGAAATTCTACACAAACAGCACAACAGTGGTCACGAAGTAAAAACAACACGGTTGAAAAAAAAAACGCGCCTTCAGGGACCACCCAAATGGAGAGGGGGGGGGGGGGGGATGTTGGGTGCTATTGTGTGAGTACATACAATTTTGATCACACTAACTGTTCTCATTTGCAATATAAAATACACTGGCAGGGCATACGCGCTCAAGAACAACACACACACACACACACACACACACACACATATATATATATATATATATATATATATATATACACACTCAAACACACGTGTACACACACGGGGGGAGGGGGTATGGAAGCAAATATAAAAAAGGGAGGGAGAAGTGAGGTGGGGGGATAAAACAATTTTTAAACTGAGTTCATTTGTACTTTCAATAATCTGTTACACTTACATTTGTCTTTTCTCAAGCACCAAACGAAGACCAAATACTACCCTTCATGTCGTTTCTGAGAATTCAAAACAAAGACCACCAAATATCAACGTACTTGAGAAATCAAAACGTTACTTCAAAACACCACACAAGTCACAAGGTAAAAACAACACAACAAAAACAGCGCGACCTCAAGGACCACCCGCATCAGTAGAGCAGTGCTGAAAGTTATTATTGGACGAGTACATGGAGCCGATGTCGTGCCCTTGTTGCTGGCCGCATGCGCCGTGAAGTGTTTCCGGCGACGGATGTTGGTGTTGTGACGCCGGAGTCAGCAGTTGTGAGCTGCTCCAGGACGGGTACATCGGTGTCACAGCAGGGTGCCATTTGCTGCCTAAAGACTGCGCGGCATCTGAGGAATAGAGCAGGCAAAGAAAAGGCCTGTGTTATTTTAACTTCGGGGACCAGTAATAGAAATGATAACATCAGCAATTCCCGGATTTGACGCCCAGTTGTCAAATCGTTTAGTGCATTATATTCACTTAAAAGAAGTCGGGGTGATAGAAAAGAGCAACTGTTTGAACGTGCTGTCATGCCGAAAACACAGGTTCGAATCTAAAATATTTGTTGATCGGAGTAAAACTATAACCCTTTCCTGTACCCTCCCTGACGAGTGCGCTAGCCATTTGACCCTGAATCTGCATGCTCAAAGACCCCCCCCCCTCCTCCCAACCAACCCGCCCCTCCCATCCCACTTTCCCTCTCACCGCCTATATCGCAAAAGTGGTAAAAACGGGAAGTTATTGATTTTTTTTTTAATTGTAGAGGTAACAGAAAAGCTGGCATTGTTGCTTTTTGACCAGTAGTCTTTGACCAGTAGTCTTCTTCTTCTTTGCGTTCACCAGCTATTAACTCTGGCGGAAAGTTCTGGTTGTTCATCCACTTCTAGACTGCAGTCCTGTTCCAGAACCTGAGTGTTGCGTGTGCATCTGTTTTACAGATCTGACTCATGTGTATGCAGACTGCTGGTTCCTTGCCTCTCAGGCAGATGCACTCCGACTTCAAAGGAAGCTCCCAATTAGTCGACTCTTACGACATGCTTTTGGGGAGGCAGTGGGCCTATTCTTGTTTTCCCCACAATAGGGCCCTGGAACCCACACGGGGAGTGACCAGTAGTAATATGGTTTGAATCCTCCTCGAATGGTATTAGCCTTCTATATATGCCTAGGGTTGGTTAGTTGTGTATCATTTACAGGACGTTGCTGAACCAACCCCAACAGCCCTTGGCTGTTGTCTGGTTTTTCTAGGCAAATTTACGTCCATTAGTTTGCTATTGCTTTCTGGACTGTCGGCTTTTTGATACCACTGTCGAAACCAATGCAAGGCGCATGGCCAGCAGCTGGGATCGAGCCCGGCATCCCGGCATTACGAAGCGTTCGCATCGAATTAACCACAGAGCCGACTATGCCGAGGGTACTGTTGTAAAAGAGGAAATTTACTGCAGAGTAACAGCGGTAATTTTTATATTAACCACATCAGTCAGTGACTTCGACTGGCCTATACAAAATAGGATAGCAAGCAAATACAGGACCCTCATACACGATTGGCATTTTGGTATGTAATTTCCATTTTCATCTCCATTTTAGTAAAAACAATCAAATGTTGACTAAGTTCAAACCACTGCGTTCATCATTGGTTATATTTGTGGTCTGGCATATGTATGTCAAGTTTTTATTGCTGTTGCTGTTGTTGTTGTTGTTGTTGTTGTTGTTGTTGTTGTTGCTGTTGCTGAGGTAAGTTAATTTTTGTATAGTTGATGATTGCGTGACATTTTACCCTACCACGAACGCACAACTAGCGACAAAAACCCGGCGACACAAAGTAACACCATTCGGTTGAGAATCATCCGGGCACAAGTTCCATAAGCCCAGTTCAACCGGTAGGTTATAAAAGGGGCTTCGATGACAGCCTAAGTGAAGCTTTAAAATAATTTTAAAAAACCCAATTGAGTCGCATATCGAAGAGAAAATAAGTACATTAGATGTAATTGTTTTCCCTATCTCCGTGTTTTGTCGATTGCTACATGTCTGTGTCATATTTTTGGTCCTGATTTGCACGTTCCTTCTGTTAGTCATACTTCCAGTGTTCTGGTTGCGGTAGTTACAATTGTCTTTTTGTTTTATGTCCGGGTGAGAGTCCTTTCAATTGTCTGTGTCTCCTGTTATTTGGTCCTGAGATGTTACGGTTTTGTTACGGACCCATGCATCTCGCAATGAGAGCATCGACATAAAACCGGTGATGCTTGACCGGTATTTTTTATAGACGTCAACATTCGAAGGTTGATAAGGTCAACATCTGACTGGCTGTCTTTATTTCCCAGGACATTACCTGTTTCCCATTTAGGTTAGACTGTCGAGATTATTTAAAACTAAAGAAGTATGGTTAAAGATTATGCGAAGGCAAGTAAAGGTTACAAACTGTCAAACCCTGAATGTCATTTGACGGTTCCTGCATGAGACACAGTACATATTAACTAGCAAATAACTGTGAAATAAAAAAGTGAACAAACAGAAAAAAATAATAATAGCTGAACAATGCATAGACTGCCCCTTAACTCGCATGTCGTAACATGAGATTAATTAATTAAATGATGATGTAACACGTTAGTAATGCCCTTGGCGAGATACTGAGAAATATGCTTAGCAATAGATTTGGCTGTGTGTTTGTGTCCTAATTATCTGAAACATTTAAAGACGTGATGAAAATGAATGTCTTTGACCGAAAGGAGCTAATATCGCAATCTAGTTGTAAACAACAATACGGCCAGCTGCATTGTAACAAAGTAGAAGAGTAAGATTTCAAATAGTCACCACATTGAAAGATCATGTCTTTGTTCTTGTCCTTATCGTGCGGTCTGATCCTCATTTGTTCCCTCTGTATTGTTTTTAGGGGTTAGAAGGTTTTCATTGCTTATCGTCATATCTCCTCCTTTCACCAGCTGCGCAAAGTTTAAAATGTTAGATAAAATGCATACATTAGGAAACGGGTTATTAGACACTGGGTAAAAAATTCTTACCCATAGAAAAATGGTATCCTTTGACTGCCGACACAGGAGGCCACACGTTGTTTCCATAATGATTGTACATCTCCATCCACATCACTGATGGATCTGGATTCTGGAATATGGAAACACAATAAACATTTAATAAATTAGTAAAAAATAGTCACAAATATATTTGAGTGACAGTTATCACAAACATTAATCAAAGAGAAACACAACTGTCTTTAGAGGTTCCCTTTCTTCTACTTCTTGGTGTTCACCGGTTGTAAACTCCGTAGAAAGTTCTGGTTATTTGTCCACTTCTGACCAGTAGTTTTATTCCAGATCTTGAGTTTCCCGTGCACATCCGTTTCACAGGTCTGGCTTATTTTTATGCAGATTGCTTTTTTCATTGCCTTTAAGACAGATGCACACCGCCTTTGAAGAAAACATTCTTGATGCTTACTAGGAGCAGTAGGTCTATTCCACCAACAACCCCACCCCCCCCCCCTTTCTTCCCTCCCCCTCCATCTAAGACCCAGAACCTGCACCGTAGACTCTCCAGGTTATGAGAATAGTTTCTGAATTGAGTTGAGTTGAGCTAAATCAAGAATTGACATCCCAGCATTCCCATACGCATTCAGTCCCAATCCTCAGCAGCCAACGCAGAGTTCCAATACTAATGGTGCCAGTAGTAGTCTGGATGTATATCCGTCTTGCCTTTCATCTGAGCGTCGAGTATCGACCAGACCCCCTCGTCAATCTCCACTGCACCACTCTCACCAGACTGCAGTGATCCATTTGCTCCTTTGAATTGTACACGTTCTCCCATATAAGGCCCTAACAACGTCTGCCTTATAATGCATCAATATTCCACCAAGTTGTGCAGAGCCAGCCAGGATCTGAGGAGACATGAACAGTCTGGACACTCGACAATGCACATGAAGATGTTCAGACGTAAGTGTTTAAGCAGTTGAGAAAACTAGACACATTGTGTACCGTCAAAGAGAAGAACAGTGCCTAACTGTATAATAAATGTCAAAGGCATTATTTTGGGAGATTCACATATTTCAATTCATGGATAACATCCGACGGAAGATGTATCACAGAGATAAAGAAAACAATATCACAGGCCAAATTTTCCTTTCGCGAAATAAATAACCTTTTACGCAATAAGTCCATGTCATTGGAGATTGGTAAAAAGAATTCTCGCAGGCTATAGAGAGCCAGTTTTAACATACGGCTCTGAATCCTGAACAATTAATCCAGAAGCAACAAAATTCATTAAGGTCTCAAAAATGTGCTTTTTTACAGCAGAATCCTTAGAATTCCTTTGACAGCTAAGATAAGCAAATCAGATGTTTTGAAAGGGGCAAGGGTTCGAATACCACTGATCACAAACGTCAGCAAGAGACAGAGATAAGTTTTTGGTCATGCTATGAGAAAAAGTAAAATGGAACATGTTGTGACCACTGGAAAGATCTGTAGGGAACAAAACGAGACAGTGGCAGGCAACTCGAGACGATTATCGACAGCCTTTTGGCATGCCGTAGAGGGGTTTCAACACATGAACTGATACATGCTGTTAAGATTGTGGATGGTAAATTTCTCCCATGCCAGTCGGCAAGGCACTTGATGATGATGATGGTGATGATGATGATGATGATGATGATGATGATGATGATGATGATGATGATGATGAGAAGGAGGAGGAGGAGGATAAGGACGAGGATGATGATGTAGCATCACTCTCACCTGGACGTGTGGGTGGTACATGTCGTGCCTGGGTCCCAGATGAACATCATATCCGTGGTTTGTTGCAGAAGCCATAGCTCTCATAGTGTTCAGCTGGCCAAAGCGCTCTCGTTTCCTCCATTTGGCTCGTCTGTTTTGAAACCACACCTGTGAGACATTTAAAACATCGCTGTTGGTTTTCAAATGCACATAATAAACAAAAACAAAGCTGTCGATTTTTCGAGTTTTTGTTGGTTTGTTTGTTTGTTTCTTATGCATATGAACAATTCTGACTCATTATAGCCATCATCAAGTGCCTTGCCGACTAGCGTGGGCGATCATGCCTCTCCACAATCTGCGACCTGCAACTGTGTGTATCAGTTTTAGTGTTTACACCCATTGATGCCATAACAAAAGGGGGCTGTGCGGTCTCGATGTATGCTGTCCGGCTCCTATGCTAGAGGTCTCGGGTTCAGGCCCCGCTGAGGGCTGGGATTTTTTCACGTGGACTACTAGTAATTTCCTCTGGTCTCTGGGTGGTGAGATCGGACGCCCGTGTGCATTGTTCTGCATGTAAAAAATCCCTTGGCAGTTGGAAATCGAAAAGAGTAGCCTGACGGAGCTGCCCGAGCAAAATTTTGAGTTTAAAATCTACCCAAAATATTTTAGGATTCTCTGGTGATACAGAGCCCGTGCACTGTGTGATTTTTCTCGCACTCAGACTTGAGTTAGAAGTAGAACGGAGCACTTATGGGTTATACCTGTGTGCAATGTTGATTAGTTGTTCAAACTTCAAATCTACCATGACAAAAGGCTCTCAAGAATCTTGTCGCGCTGAATTTCTCTGTCTCTCTTTCCAGAGATCTTCCCACTGGTCCCACCATGTTCCAGAGTCCTAATTCTCATAACATACGCCAAAAATGATGACTGTTTCTTTCTGATGTTTTTGATAAGCTGTCTTGGAGCAAATCCTTAGTGCCTAGATTTAATATCTCTAATGCTTTTGTCTGCTCGAAGAGGACTTGACATTAGTCTTAGTAGCTTTATTTCTACTACTCTTAGATAGCCAGATAGAATGTATGATTAAGCATCACACCCGTTGCACATAGACATCTATTTAAAGTGATCAGTCTCTCTTTATACTACTCACAAAAGCAACGCATATATTTAAGGTTATAAGTACATCTCAATTCACCCAAGAGTGATACCGGGGCGCCTAACTAAAGCAGCCAACGTCACTGTAATTTAATAAATTAAATTAGTAATTGTAGTGGACTCATAGAGTATGTTTCAGAAAATAAAAACACACGTCCTTTGCAATGAATGACTTGCATCACCCTATTAGACTTAGATCAGAAGCATATCCTGGATTTTCAGTCAAGGAATTTCGATTGTGCGTGGATAAGAAGCAGACTGACAGACTGGCTGATGCCGCTCCTCAGGACGGTCGGCTGCTTTATGATCAGCAGACAAGCGAAAAGCTCTCTGGGATAAAATATACAGTTCAAAAGAACAGATAGAGAATTGATACAGTGAAATACTAATTCTCCCTGTATGGGAACGGCTGACCTATTGTGGGGTAAACAAGAATAGATTAACTGCTTCCCTAACAAGTATGTCGTAGTTGTCGTCTAATTGGGGACCAAAGAGGTCGGGGTGCATCTGGTCGAGTGGAAAGGAACAACTAACTGCACACAAATAAGTCAGTACAACGGATGTACACGCAGAACTCAGGCCCTGACTCAAAGCCTAAGTCCAAATAGACGAAAAATCAATACTTTCCGCTGGAGCTTTCAGCCGGTGAACGAACAAGAAGAAGAAGAAGAAGAAGAAGAAGAAGAAGAAGAAGAAGAAGAAGAAGAAGAAGAAGAAGAAGAAGAAGAAGAAGAAGATGATGATGATGATGATGATGATGATGATGATGATGAAGAAGAAGAAGAAGAAGAAGAAGAAGAAGAAGAAGAAGAAGAAGAAGAAGAAGAAGAAGAAATACTAATTCAACACGATGAGAGAGGGGGAGGTTGAGTAGAGGTTCTGGAAGATATTCAACGCTGGTAGAAAAAGTGAGAGGGGGGGGGGAGCAAGACAAAACATAAACCCTGTTGCAGCACGTACTAATACCGTGTCGACTCTTCGCTCTGGCTACTAAGATGGTGACGGAGCATATTTGGTGATGTCCTGAATACAGCGATGTCAATTCTTAATTCATTCATTACATTATTTTTTTGAATTTTTTTTTAATGTAAGGTGTGGTCACCTCTAGCACTGGTGCCAGCATTGTCTGTAGCAGCTAGCTCTTCTAGAAGGGATCCGATTCCTGCTGCCATAGGCACAGAAGTAAGGGCACTGATTGATCAGCATTCGCAACCAGAAAACCTCATTATCTCCACAGATTGATCTGTGAAGCGCGAATCAAGGTCAGCATGGGCATACACAGCGTAAAGAATAGGTAAAACAATACAAGAGGACAGCGGCGCTTGCCAGGGAACCACGTCAACATGACCATGGAGATAGCCGCTACTTTTAGAGCACTAGCATAAGCATCAGAGCAAACAGCCACACATGCAGTAACTGTATCAGACACCTACGAACATGCTTCAGAAAATAGTAAAAAGCGGTTTGTGCTCTGAATTGGTAGAAACCATTCGAAAATCGCACTTAACTGCCCTCACCTGGATCTACACACCTCGTCATGCGAGCGTATAGAGAGCGGACCAACTGGCAAACCATGCATAATGCATGTGGCAAGAATCACAAACAGAGCAGATATCGTCAATGTATATATATTAGATCCAGAAACCGTGAGTTGTAAACCCTTTGGCTCGACACTATGGATATCACAACCCTTCAGCATTGATTCCATGATAGATATCGTAGATTTGAGAAACATCTGGCTTTTCTGCCTAACCATTCAGCGTGAACTCGGACCACATAGAATGTATCACCCGGCCGCCGCGCAGCTGGTTCAACCACTTTAGCTAGCGCACCGCGCATACGTATAGATATAGATATAGATATTTAATACCTTTTATCGCAGTCTCTCTCTCTCTCTCTCTCTCTCTCTCTCTCTCTCTCTCTCTCTCTCTCTCTCTATATATATATATATATATATATATATATATATATATATATTTTATACATACATGGAATCATTCACACATAGATACATACACCCATATGATGGAGCACTTGTGATGCTTTCGTGACAGCCGTTTGAATTATTGAAACGGTCGTTAAGTAAACGATTACACGAGGCAGCGATGCTGAAGTTGACAGCTCCCATAAATCTTCAACATCTGTGGAACCGTATGTGGCATCAGCATATCGTTCCCGGTGATTGCCTTCTACTTAGCCTGCATTGTAAAATATCCGGCCCAGTGTCTTAGGCAGACGAGCTCGTTCATGGCTGGAGAGAGTCCGGATTTCGAGCAAAGGCAGCTCTCGACGTACCACTAGTAGAATGCCTGTTCTAAGGAACTCCTGATGCGTCTGTTGGTAATAGCAATGATCATCATAGCAATGATGACGTTTATAGATCAGTTGTAATTTTTTTTTTTTTCAACCACGAACTGGCTAAATTTCAGAACTTGAGTAGAGGGAACTTTTCAAAACCTCAGATTGCATGCATGTCATGGGCGTTTCATGCTTTGGTGGCCTTCTCCGGCATACATATCCCGTGATTATTGCATTTTTCATTGAGTGGATCAACAGGCTACCAGAATAATTACCACGCTGCAGGTATTCATTGACTTCCAAATAATCTCCACACCTGTGTCAATTACATATTCTATTTTTTTTCAGGGGTACAGACATTATAAGTCAATCAAAGATCAAAGAAATTAGCCGATTTAAGAACAAATCATCACCTGCGCGGTTGTAAAATATCGAATCATCAGTATGTAAGTAACCTAAGGCCACATGCAAAAAAAAATCGAATTGATCCAAAGAGGAGTTTTTGAAATATTTAAAGGTTTGAAGGTTTGAACAACGGATCAACATCACGACACACTAGTAGTAACCCATAAGTGCTCCGTTCTTCTTCAAACTCAAGTCTGAGTCCGAAGAAGCTCAGCACAGGAGACAGACTCTGTAGCACCGGCGAGGATCCTAAAATACTTTGGTTAGATATTCAAACTTAAAATTGTGTCCGTGCAGCGCTGTTAGGCTATTCTTTTCGATTTCCAAATGCCAAGGGATTTTTTGTACGTGAGCAGCAATGCACCCGGATGTCTGATCTCACTACCCAGAGACCAAGGGGGGGGGGGGGGATTACTAGAAGTCCAAGTCCACGTGAAAACATAAATCCTAGCGTTCACTGTGCGTCGAGACCACGCAGCCCTCTGAGATATTTGTTAAAGTAGGACAGCATGTTTGTAATGCCGGAATGCCAGGTTCGATCCCAGCTGCGGGCCATGCGCCTTGTGTTGGTTTCGACAGTGGTATCAAGAAAGCCGACCGTCCAGGTAGCAATGGCAAACTACTGGACGTAAATTTGCCTAGAAAAACCACACAACCGCCAGGGGTTTTTGGGGTTGGTTCTGCAACGTCCTGTAAAGGATACGCAACTAACCTAGGACGGCATGAGTTTTGAAATGCACTACAACTTAGAGCTCATTCTATCTCGACGGTTATTTGTTCCTTCTTTCAGTCTGTTATAGGTATATAAAGTAATGTATGGGGTCCTTTGTATATTACTGGTGAATCAAACAAATTCGGTTACGACCATATGTATATGGATCAGACGGTACTCAGAGGGTCACGTGGTCAACAGTTCGCTGGCCGCTCTTATTCCCAAGCGGTCAAGACATTGTCTGTTTGTTTATCATACACAATATTCACAGGGCCTTAAGGGTTCCCCCTTTGTTTGTTTATCGGTATTGCCTGTAACGCAATGGAATCTACCAATCAAATCTCTTTCCTAAATGTTCATGTATTCTAGATAAAGCATTGCAGTCTGCTGTGTTTGTAGATTATTTCTGTGTTTGTTATTCGACCTATGCTTGCATAATATAAATGTATGTAACCTATGGTGCAATTTAAGTGGTTTGAGATGAGTTCTGTCCGTATTCCATAGTTGTGGATTTCAAGCTGAACAACTTAAGTCCAGGTGTGGATAAACAACCAAAACTTTCCGCCAGGGTTTATAGCCAGTGAACGCGAAGAAGAAGAAGAAGAAGATATAAAGCAGGCAAATTAAACGAGACAAAATTATCCCGTAAGAATAATAATAATAACAACAAGTAAAGTTACTGAAGGACCCTTGACACCCCCCACCACAATCACCATCACCACAACCACCATCACGACCACCACGACCACCATGACTATCACCACCATGCACATTACTTTTACAGATCTGGCATATTTGTATACAGAATATTGGTTCACTGTCTCCTTGACGTATCGAAAGAAACACCCCCAATTAGCCGACGATTACGATGTGCTTGTTAGGATAACACTGGGTCTATTATACACACCCCTCCCCCCCCCCCCCCCCCACCACCTTCAATAGGGCCATGAAACCGACAAAAGGAGATGCTGATTTGAATCCTATACTTTCGGACTGGCGGACGTACGGCCGTTACGCTACTCCAACTCCAGCAGATAAAAGTACCTTGCACCATTTTATTACTGTGCACTGCAAGAAGTGATACTGTGCACTGCAAGAAGTGATGCTGTGCACGCCTATCAAAACAATCAACTGATAAAAGTTAACTGTGCTCAGATCTAAGCCTTGGCACTAATTTTCTCCCAGCTGGTTTAACTTCGTCTGCTTCTTTAGCGAATAGAAAATGTATAGCAAGAATGCAAAACAGCTTCCCGCCTACTTCTTTGACTGTGCAGACGAGTTTCAGACGCCGGCGATGAACAGCAGGAGAAAGCTGAGGTTCTTATGTGGCAAAGATTATGTCACAGCAGGGGAGTCTCCTTGCTTGGCTACCTAACGCGAAACACTTCTAAGACACGAATAATATACCCCATAATGGCATCTCAGGAAGCATTTTACTTCGCCGCCGCTAATGAAGTCGTTAAGAATTGTA